CTTAGAAAGGTATTGTTGACTTTCTGGAAAATGAAATTGGAATGCCTTTGGATCTTTAGTTTTCTTTTTGGTACTGGGGATTGAACCCAGGAAAGCTTTACCACTGACCAACATCCTCATCTCTTTTTATTCTTTATTTTTAGACAACATCTTGCTAAATCACCTCTAATTTGTGACTCTCCTGCCTGGATTATAGGCATGTGGAATTTCTCACATTGTGGCCAATCAATTGGGAAAGATTTGAGAAATCAGAGGCATCAGGGAATTGATTCAATTATGACACAGAGATACTTCTTCTGGTCTTTAAAGTACTTGGTCTTTACTTTATAATCCTTCACCTTTTTCCTTTCCTGGGGATTGAACCTAGGGCCGCACACCTGCTAGGCAAGCTTTAAGCCACATCTCCAGCCCCTAGTAATTTTCTGAACTGAAAACAGCCCAGGTGTGTCTACTTCCGAAGTTCATTTTCCTAACCTACCTCCCACCTTCCCCATCTCTCAACCTCTGATATCACAAGTGGGTTTTCCCCTGTAGGAGCCCACTGAGACCTCACAACAACCTAATTTCAGATGAAGAAATATGGACTTAATTAAGGGGTCTGCTGAAAGGCACATAGCCAGTGACAGCAGATTCAAGTGTAAAGTTGTGTTTTTTTTTTTTGCTATATGGAATTAAACCCAGAGGTGATTAACTAGTGAGCCACATCTCAAGCCCTTAAAATTTTTATTTTATTTATTTTATTGGGTACTAGGGATTGAACTCAGGGACACTCAACCACTGAGCCACATCCTCAGCCCAATTTTTTTTTTTTTTTAAAGAGTGAGAGAGGAGAGAGAGAGAGAGAGAGAGAGAGAGAGAGAGAGAGAGAGAGAATTTTAATATTTATTTTTTAGTTATCGGCGGATACAACATCTTTGCTTTGTATGTGGTGCTGAGGATCGAACCCGGGCCCCACGCATGCCAGGTGAGCGCGCTACCACTTGAGCCACATCCCCAGCCCTCAGCCCAATTTTTGTATTTTATTGGAGACAGGGTCTCACTGAGTGGCTTAGCACCTCAGTGAGGCTGGCTTTGAACTTTTTTTTTTTTTTTTTAATATTTTTTAGTTTTCTGTGGACACAATATTTTCATTCCATTTCTATGTGGTGTTGAGGATTGAACCCAGCGCCCCGCGCATGCCAGGCAAGCGCTACCGCTTGAGCCACATCCCCAGCCTTTGTTTTGTTTTGTTTAGTTGTAGTTGGACACAATACTTTGATTGTTTGATTGATTCATTGATTGTGCTGAGGATTGAACCCCGCACCTCGCACATGCTAGGAAAGCGCTCTGCCGCCCAGCCATAATCCCAGCCCGGCTTTGAACTCTTGATCTTCCTGCCTCAACCTCCAGAGTTGCTGGGATTACAGGCATGTGTCACCACACCCAGCACATATAAAGCTTTCTGGAACTATCTGCAGTCACTAAATCAACCAGTGGGTCTTAGGATTTCCTGGGTCAGATCTATGAACCCAAAAATAAAACAAAATTTGAGGATGATAAAGGACTATCCACTTTTTCCTTTATTCCTTGTAATAATATTTAAAAATAAACCTACTCCTACTGTTTTGGTTCGTTGGTTGTTTGCTGTGCTGTGAGTTAACCCCATTCTGCAAGCCTTGCCTGCTTGGCGTGTGCTCTACCACTGAGCTACATTCCCAGTCCCTTTTATTTATTATTTATTTTACTTTTTGGTACTGGAGAGGAAACCCAGGGACACTTTACCACAAAGCCACTTCCTAGACCTTTGTATTGTTACCTTGAAATAGAATATCACTAAGTAGTTTAGGGTCTTGCTAAATTCCTGCGGCTGCCCTTGAATTTGCCATCCCACCGCCTCAGCCTCTTGAGTTGCTGGGATTACAGGTGTGAACTATGGCGCCTGACCCCATTTTGTATTTTTATTTAGAAACAGGGTCTCACTGAGTTGCTTAGTGCCCCAACTCTTGCTGAAGTTGGCTTTGAATTCACGATCCTCCTGTCTTAGTCTTCCGAGGCTCTCGCACCCCACTTATTTATTTATTTACATGTGGTGCTGAGAACCGAACCCAGTGCCAGACCAGTCTCTACTATAACCCCAGCCCCTGTTGTCATGCTTTTGATTCTGTGATCTTTAGAAACACTGTGGATATATTAGTATGATGAGCTTCCTCTTTGGCCATAGGTCTTTTTTTGGCACTGGAGATTGAACCCAGGGGCACTTTACCACTGGGTTACATTACTGAGGCTGGCTTCAAATGTTCAGTTGTTCAATCCTCCTGCTTTAGCCTCCTGATTCATTAGGATTACAGGTACACAAAATTTCATACCCTTCCGTGTTTTGGTTTAGGTTTTGTTGTGACATGGTCTCACCTTTGTTTCCCAGGCTGGTCTCCAACTCCTAAGGCTCATGGGATCCTTCCACTTAAGCCTCCAGAGTAACTTGGAACCTTGGGTGCTTGCTTCAGTTCTCAGCTTAATTGCTTGGTCTTATTATTTATTGATTGATTGATTGATTGATTGAGAGAGGGAATTTTATATTTATTGTTCAGTTTTTTTTCCAGCAGACACAACATCTTTGTTTGTATGTGGTGCTGAGGGTCGAACCCCGGCCGCACGCATGCCAGGCGACCGTGCTACTGCTTAAGCCACATCCCCAGCCCCGCTTGGTCTTATTTTGAATCAGGGCAAACAATCTGAGATACAAAGAAAATTGATGATGGCTCTTGATTAACCCTTTTCCCTTTCTCCTCTTTACTTGCTTACTTTCAAATAATATTTGCTTGCTTTGTATGTTTCATTGTTCTAATCTCATTTTCTTCTTATTTTCAATTTCCTTGCACAGGCATTCATCATGAGACTTTTGGTACCCTTGGAGGAGGGGATTTTAGAACCAGCATTCTTTGGATTAAGTTGGGTGAAAGAGAAAAGAGGGACATCATTTCTGAGTGGGGGCAGGGCCCACCACAATCCCTTCTTTACACATAGTAGGTACTCAATAGATCTTTGTTGGACCTGTGAGTCTTATTTGTATCCTGATTTGCTAATACTAACTCTTTGAGATGTTGTGCTATTTGTTTGCATGTGAATAGCTCAAAACTTGTGGGTTGTAATTAGAACAGAGTGTTAATTGTGAATCTCCAATGAGTCTGTTTCTTAGTTTATGTTAGTCTCTTTTCCTCTCTCTTTACCAGATTTGCTTTCGAACATGTGCACATGATACCTCTGCCTGCGTTGGGATGTGCTCAGGAAAGAGTAAGAGGTGTGTGTGTGTGTGTGAGAGAGTGTGTGTGAAAGAGAATGAGAGAAGTAGAGAGGGAGAATGTGGTGTCTGGCATCTAACCCAGGTCTTCACTTATGCTATCAAAGTACTACATTTATAGCCTCCAAGCTATATTTATCCTGTCTGAGAGACAATTTTATTTTTCACAGTACTGGGTATTGAACCAGGAGTGTTCTACCACTGAGCTACATCCCTAGCCTTTTTTATTTAATAAAAAAAATTATTTGTTCTTTTTACTTTTATATAACAGGAGAATATATTTTGACATATCATACAAACATTGAGTATAACTTCCTATTCTTGTGGTTGTACATGATGTGGTTGTATATTCATATGTGAACATAGGAAAATTATGTCTGATTCATTCTACTGTCTTTCCCATTCCCATCCCCACTCCCTTCTTCCCATTCCCCAATGTCCAACTTTCATTCCCCCGAACCCCTCATTGTGAGTCAGCATCCTCATATCAGAGAGAACATTTGGCTTTGATTTTGGGTAAATCTGTTTATTTCACTTAGGATGGTAGTCTCAAGTTCTATCCATTTACCCGCAAGTGCCATAATTTCATGCTTCTTTATAGTTGAGTAATATTCCATTGTGTATATGTTTCACAAACTTTTTATTTTGAGACAGGGTCTTGGTAAGTTGCTGAGGCTGGCCTTGAACCTGTAATTTTTATGCCTCAGCCTCATTGGGATTACAGGTGTGCACTACTATACCCAGCCTAAGAGGTTTTTTTTTTTTTTTGGGTGGGGAATACCGGGGAATGAACTCAGGGGCACTTGACTACTGAGCCACATCTCTAGCCCTATTTTATATTTTATTGAGAGACAGGGTCTCATTGAGTTCCTTAGTGCCTCATCATTGCTGAGGCTGGCTTTGAACTCAGCGGTCCTCCTGCTTCAGCCTCCTGAGAAGCTGGCAAGAGGTTTTTGGTTTATTTTTTGGTACCAGGGATTGAACCCAAGGGCACTTCCTCCTTGCTAAATTGCTGAGCTAGCTTTGAATTTGCAATCCTCCTGCCTCAGCTTCCCAAACCAATGGGATTGTTAAGTGCCCAGTTTAGGGATAAATTTTAAAGTATCCAAATGGGATTTAAAGGTATAAATGACATGTAACTACTAGTGTGATTATCTTACTTAAAGAACTTCATCAACTTTTATCAGTTGTCATAGTAACTAAAGGAGCATTGTGTATTCAAGGTTTAAAGAAGCCTTTGACGGGCTGGGGATATAGCTCAGTTGGTAGAGTGCTTGTCTCACAAGCACAAGGCCCTGGGTTCAATCCCCAGCACACACACACACACACAAAAAAAAAAAAAAAAAAAAAGATTCCTTTGGCCTATAGTAGATTGCTTGACTAGCATGTGCAAAGCCCTGGGCTCCCTCCTCTGAGTTTGATGCCTAGTACCCACCACACAACCACACACACCAAAGAATTCCTTAGTATAAATTTTTGTGTGTGTCTATTATACTTCTCTTTGGAAATAAACATTTTCTCAGTTCCTCAGTTTCAAATAATAGTAAATATTCTATTTCAAATGAGAACGACTTACAATATTTTTGTTATTGTTATTATTTCAGACCAAAACCTGGTGCAACTGAACTTGACAATACATCCAGATTCTCTGCAGAAGTGAGACTTTCCAAAGGACCAATGACTCTGTTTCCTGTGTCCTTTCATTTTTTCCTACTCCATAACTATGTCTCGATCCCGCCATGCAAAACCTTCCAAATTGGTCAGAAAGGAAGATTTAACCAAAAAGAAAAACATCCAGCTGAAGAAGACATCCAAGCCAGCCAACAAAAATGTGACATCTGTCAAGACTGTGAGCCTTGGAAAAGTAAAGCAATTCCTTCAAGAAGGAGATGTTAAGAAAAAAACAGATCCTAAACCACCTATGCCAGTCAGAAGCCTTCTGACAAGAGCTGGAGCAGCCCGAATGAATTTGGACAGGACAGAGGTTCTTTTTCAGAACCCGGAGTCCTTAACTTGCAATGGCTTTACAATGGCTCTCCGAAGCACCTCTCTTAGTAGGCGGCTTTCTCAACCCCCAGTGGTTACATCTAAATCCAAGAAAGTTCCACCTTCCAAGAGTTTAGAAAAGCAACATGAGTCTGACTATAAGGTAGTCAATGATACGGGAGGAAAGTGCTCAGAAAATGATTCGGTCCCCATCCAAGATCAAGATCCCCTCATCCTCCCTGATATAGAGAATCTAATCAGTGTACAACATACATCTTTAATTGAAGGTGAGAGTCAAGAGACAACTCAGTCTTGGTCTCAAGGGATAGAGGATACCAAATTCCATGTACCCGTTCATAGTAGCCCTGCAGCAGGGATCCTTTCTGGGCCATTGGAAGGGACACATTGTGGTGAAGGACTATTCTCTGAACAGATATCAAATGGTATCAGTGATTCTCCTGGAATGTTTGCTCAGGACACTGTAGGTGCTCCTTTAATCCAAAGATCAGCCCCCGAAGTTACCTCTGAAAGTACCATTCAGTTAGAAGATTTGGGTTCCCAAGTACAATCTCTGAAGCTAACTGATTCTTATCTGGAACCCATGAAGAGTGAACCTACTTGTTTCCCATCTCCCAGTTTTAATAAGATTATACCTGAATTAGATGTTAGAAATTGCTTGTCTCTTGGTGGGTCTGTATATCCCAACACTCTAATAAAACTCCTCTTGGCAGGCTCAGAACCAGAAACCCTTGGTGCTAAACCAGATCATCCAGGGGCCTTCAAATCTACCCTAGATCAAGAGGACGTTCCTGATACCACCTCTGCCCTAAGACAGGCCTTCAGTGCTATCCCTCATCAATGGGAATTTCCTGGTGCTAACCCAGTTCATGGTGAGGCTCTCCGTGAGACCCCAGACCCACCAGAGATTCCTGGTGCTATTTCGGTACAAGGAGAAGTCTTTGGTACTATCCCAAACCAACAAGGAATGCATGGTGTGGTTGGGGATGCTGCCCCAGACCTGCCTACTTTTCTTCCTATTGTTCCGAACCCAACTGCTACTTGTAATGCTCCCCTCAACCTCAAATGGCCTGAGCCCCAGAGCGCTGTCCCATATGGGCTTGAGGTCCAGAGTGCTATGCCAGTTTTGCCTCTGGGCTCAGGACACACTCCTCAATTATCATCGAACTCCGAGTTAGGTTCCATACCTCCATGGACAACTGCAAGCAATGTAGAAAATGAGAAGCACGTTCCAAGAAGCCTTCTGCCAGCTCACACTCAGGGGTTCACTTCCACCCCTGTTTCACTGGGTGTGACCCCAGTCTCCCAAGCCAATCCCAGCATATCAGAAGGAGGAAATTCCCAGGTTAGCATGACCAGCTTGGCTGATGTTAACACCACAGGGACATCTGTGCCAGTGTCAGTTGCCAATACCACCTCTTCTCCCTCTACCACCTTGCTACCAACTTTGGAAAGAAAGAAACGAAAGCGATGTGGGGTCTGTGAGCCCTGCCAGCAGAAGGACAACTGTGGCGAATGTACTTACTGCAAGAATAGAAAGAATAGCCATCAGATCTGCAAGAAGAGGAAATGTGAGGAGCTGAAAAAGAAGCCATCTGTGGCTTTGGAGGTAAGCAAAGGGTCAAAGGCCTGGGAGACAACTGCAATGTGGGTATAATGATCTGTGCAGAGATGATTTGCTTCAGTCCTATATCATCGTACTTTGGTGAAATGTTGGCTTTATCTGTAAGAATTTGTGGGTCTACTTGAAGATTGTCTTGTGCTCTGATGCCTTTGCCTGCCTTTTTTTTTTTTAAACTGTTATTTTTTGCTACTGGGGATTGAACCCAGAGGCACTTTACCACTGAGCCACATCTCCAGCCCTCTGTGTTATTTATTTATTTATTTTTTGGTACTGGGGATTGAACTTGGGGTGTACTCACCCACTGAGCCACATCCCCAGCCCTATTTTATATTTTATTTAGAGACAGGGTCTCTCTGAGTTGCTTAGCGTCAACGCTTTGCTGTTGCTGAGGCTGGCTTTGAACTCTACATCCTCCTGCCTCAGCCTCCCAAGCCACTGGGATTAGAGGTGTGCACCATCATGCCTAGCTGTATTTTTAATTTTGAGATAGGGGTCTCACTTTATTGCTTAGGGCCTTGATTAGTTGCTGAGACTGGCCTTGAATTTGGAAACCTCCTGCCTCTGGAGCCACTGGAATTATAGGTGTGTGCCACTGCACCTGGCCTTAGGTCGCTTTTAGAAGTTGTCCCAGAAAACTAGAACATAGAGTTTTCCATTATAGGATTTGATAGAGACATAGGGAAATTGCATGAAGTTTGGATTGGCTAAAATTTCTACTCTGCCTCATTTTGGCTAATGGACGTCTTTTTTTGGAAGTTACAGGACTAAAATATATGAGTGGAACAAATTCATTAACTCCCTAACTCCCTCGAAGCCCAGAAAAATCCAAGAAATTAAAAAAAAAATTAAATATATTTTTTTAGTTTAGGTGAACAGAATACCCAGCCCCAAATACCTTTCTTTTATTTTTTATTTTATTTTATTTTTTTAAGAGAGAGAGAGAGAGAGAGAGAGAGAGAGAGAGAGAGAGAGAGAGAGAGAGAGAGAGAGTTTCAATATTTATTTTTCAGTTTTTGGCAGACACAACATCTTTGTTTGTATGTGGTGCTGAGGATCGAACCCAGGCCGCATGCATGCCAGGCGAGCGCGCTACAGCTTGAGCCAAATCCCCAGCCCCTACCTTTCTTTTATTAATTTTTTTTTTTTTAATGTGGTGCCGGGGATCGAACCCAGTGCCTCATGACAACCCTGCCCAAATAAGTTAAATTTTTTGCTTTTGAAAGAGTTAAAACTGGGGCTGGGGCTGGGGCTCAGAGGTAGAGAGCTTACCTAGCAAATGTGAGGTGCTGGGTTAAATCCTCAGCACCACATAAAATTAATAAATAAATAAAATAAAGGTATTTTTGTCCAACTACAACTAAAAAAATGTTAAAAAAGAAAGAAAGAAAGAGTTAATACTTTTGCATACTTATGCTACAAACTTTGCCTTGGAGGCATTCCAATAAAACAGCTTTCATCTCAATCTTTAGGGGGTGACTTCTACATGTTCTGCTTATTTCAAGGGGGTTTTAGTGATTAAGTGAAAATAGTTTGTAAACTTCAGTATGACACAAACATTAAGTCTTAGTACGAAAGTTTATGAACCTATAATAGTAAAAGTATCATTTAATTTAGAATTTACTTAAAAGATTTTTATACAGCTTGGCTAAAACTCAAAACTACTGCTTATCACATTTTTGGAGGCAATTGAACTGAGGGGGTGCTTTTATTGTTTTTTACTTTGAGAGAAGGGTCTCCTTAAGTTTACTGAGGCTGATGTCCAATTTGCCATTCTCCTGCTTCAGTGGGATTACAGGCATGCACTTCTATGCCTGTCTTGCCTCTCACATTTTTTTTGTTTGGCGGGGGCACCAGGGATTCAACCCAGGGACTCTCCAACTACTGAGCCACATCCCCAACCCTTTTTATTTTTTAAAACACACCTGTGGCAGGGGCAAGGTTGTGGCTCAGTGGTATGGCACTTGCCTCAAACGTGTGAGGTACTGGATTTGATCCTGAGCACCACATAAAAATAAATAAAGAAAATAGAGGTATTGTGTTTGTCTACAACTAAAAAAAACCAAACACAAAACACACCTTTTAGGCTGGGATTGTGGCTCAGTGGTAGAGTGCTTGCTTAACATACATGAGACATGGGTTCTATTCTCAGCACCACATATAAATAATTGAATAAAATAAAGGTTCATCAACAACTAAAAAAAATTATATACTGTGCATGGTGGCACATGCACCTGTAATCGCAGTGGCTTTGGAGGCTGAGATGGGAGGATTGTGAGTTCAAAGCCAGCCTCAGTGGGCCGGGGTTGTGGCCCAGTGATAGAGTCCTCACCTAGAATGCTTGAGGCACTGAGTTCGATCCTCAGCACCACATAAATGTAAAATAGATAATTGTGCCCACTTAAAAAACTAAAATAAGTAAATAAATAAATATTTGGGGGGAAAAAAGAAAAGAAAAGCCAGCCTCAGTAAAGTCAAGGCACTAAGCAACTCAGTGAGACCCTGTCTCTAAATCAAAATAGAAAATAGGGCTGGAATGTGGCTCAGTGGTGGAGTGCCCCCGAAAATCTACATACTTTTTATATAATATATACATTTTATATATAAAAATTTTAAAAATAAATTAAAAGACAGCTGCAAGTGACTAAAGAGGCTGGTGCAGGAGGATCACAAGATTGAGGTCAACCTTAGCAGCTTACCAAGACCCTGTCACAAAAAAAAAAAAAAAAAAAAGAAAAAGAAAAAAAGTAAAGAAAAATAAAGAAAAGAAAGAGCTGCCATCATATATAACAAATCAGAATAAATAAATAATTTAGTAAAAAACAAGAAAGAGATGAGGTTGTAGCTCTCATGGTAAAATGGCTCTTCGTTCAAAAGATAAAATAAAATAAAACAACTGTGAAGTATGGGACTTTATGATTTATTTATTTTTTTGGGGGGACATGCTGAGTGAGCTACATCCTTGAGTCCTTTTAATTTTTTATTTTGAGACAGGGTCTCGCTAAATTGTTCAGGGACTTGCTTAATTGATGAGACTGGCCTCAATTTGTGATCCTTCTATTTCAGTCTCCCTAATCACTTGGATTATTGGTGTTAGCACCACCCAGTGGGCTTTATGATTTTTAAATCACATGAGGTTATGTTCATTTTGTCTACTATAAATGCAGGTATTATAGGGGGAGTTGATTTAAAAGGATTTTTGAACTTTAATTCAATCATTTTTCTATTTCTTTCTTGATTTGACCTTTTTTTTTTTTTTTTGGTATTGGGGACTGAACCCAGAGGCACTCAACCACTGAGCCATATCCCCAGCCGGATTTTTTATTTTATTTAGAGACAGGGTCTCACTGAGTTGCTTAGCATCTCTCTGTTGCTGAGGCTGTTTCAGCCTCCTGAGCTGCTGGGATTACAGGCGTTTGCCACCATGCCTGGCTATTGACTTAAAATTCTATTTACTTGTTTGTTTATTGAGTTGTTGGTACTAGAGATCGAACCAGGAGCAATTTAACATACAGCTATATCCTCCTCATCCCTTTTTATTTTTTATTTTAAGATAGGGTCCCACTAAATTACTGAGACTGGCCTCAAATTTGCAATCCTCCTTCTCCAGAATAGCTGAGATTACAGGTGTGCACCACTGTGTTGGCTTGATTTAAAATTTTAGTCCAAAATGCTGATTTCTTATTTTACTAAGCCTTTGCAAACAAGAGCCCAGATGTTTAACTAATCCTAGATCAATGAGCATTTAAAGTGTTTCTAAAATATTTTGTTATTACAAACCTTATTGTAATGAGTAATCTTTCTTTATACAAGTCATTTCACACATGTGGGAATAGAACAAATATGACTGGTTACCAAATGGTTTACAAACATCTAAGACACTCAGTAGCAATATTAATATCTCTTCTCGAGAGACCTCCCTTGTAAACTACTGATGAGTAGCATTGCTAATTGACACAGTACCAAAAACAACATCTCTAATACATATAAGCACTTTAGTTCTCTTCTTTCCCAAACCTGCTTCTCCTCTTATGTTGGCTTCAATGGCTTACCATAAACATGGTCACCCAGAATAGAAAAGTCAGTGAGCTCTGATGCCTTCCTCTCTCACCCTTCTACATTCTCTAATTTTATAAGATGTGAGCCCACCATCCTTTGTATTTTCTTGGCCACTAGTTGAGTTTTTTTGTTTTGTTTTTAATCTGTTGTTAATACAATTACAGAATTCAGTTTATTGTCAACAGTGCTTATTGCCTTCTGGGCTATGCAAGGAAGATAGTCAGGAGTGTACCAGCTAGCAGGGAAGTTAAGAAATCAAGCAAGGCTGTCTTACTATCTCCATCCTAAATACATTTAGTGTTCTGCATATGGGATGTATTTCTGTCAAAATAAAACAAAGGGCTGGGGTTATGGCTCAGTGGTAGAGCGCTCTATCGGTATGCAAGAGGCACTTGTTTGGATCCTCTGCACCACATATAAATAAAAAATAAAGACACTGTGTTTACCAAAAACTAATAAATAAATAAATATATAAATAAATAAATCAAACAAAAGAAAATAGAGACAAAGTTTCAAAGCATTCAAATTATACATAAAGTCTCAATATATTAGCATGGAATATTACAGGTGTGGGGAATTACACACCTGTAATCCCATCTACTGCGGAAACTGAGGCAAGAGGATCCAAAGTTTGAGGCCAGCCACCGCAACTTAGTAAGAGGCTGTCTAAGAATAAAATTTAAAAAGGACTATGGTTGTGGCTCATTGGTAAAGTACACCTGAGTTCCATCCTCAGTAGGAACACAAAAAATGAAACAAAACCAGGCTCTATTCCCATGTCATAGTCATCTTGCTTTTTCTATCTGACAACCCCACTCTCCCCAGTCACTCTCACCCCTTACTCTGTCAAAACTGTATGTGTGTATCAGCTGACTTTTTTTCTCCTAAGTGCCTGTCTCCTGTAGCACAGTAAAAAAGGCTCAATAAAT